ATTAGCAAACCGCATAAAAATGGAGGAACTGGCGGATTTGACTTTGAATTAGCATCAATTCCAAGTATCCAGGTCATGAAGTTGCAGCACTCGAGCAGTATTAAAAGAATACAGCGAGAATCGTCAGTGCGATGGAAAGATCCGCACGAATCCTTAAATTGAAAAGCGTGTTGATTCTAGTACAGTGTATGAACGTGTCGATGAATCGAAGGAACCAATTAGGGTGCTAGGCTGAACCAAATTTAAGAGATAGTTTATTTTATGAGATACAGACACTGAACAGGATGGGTAATTGACGAATCACCAGTACCGGTATGAATAGAGTGATTGATGAAAGGCAATCAAACGGTAAACGTGGACAGATGATGCATGCGAACCCGACTCATCGAATCGCCCGTCTTACATGCTGATTTTCCTGCGATAGATATCACACATTACAATCACGGAAACGGCTTTCATCCAGGGCTCCAGAATGGATATCATTGAAACCAGGGATGAATTTTACTGTCATAGATTCAATCTACTGTGATAAAGTTGGTGGTAGAAAAGGTGGGCTGGAAACGGAAAGTCGAATCCCTGTCGGAGATCCGATTTCCGATGGGAACGTCGCTTTCTGACGTTCAGCTGGAATCTCATCGAAAGATGACTCAGCTTTTTATTTTATTCTTGTATTTTATAATTCCAGTTGGGGATAGGGTAGGGAATCATATTCGCAAAAAAATAGGGAACTGTATTCGCGAACAAATAGGGAACTATATTCACTTTTTTTTTCACAAGACATAATTTCAGGCAACTATATTCGTCATGGAAAAATAGGCCTTTTCAAGTGTCTTCTTGCAGCTGAGCCAGGCTATGACTTCGCCGGCAGTGAGCAGCTTTTGCGTGTACTTGCATCCCATATCAATTCGGATGTGGCGCTATCTTCCACATATCTTGATTATCTGGCAGAGCACAGGATTGCGATTTCGGATACCAATTTGCTTCATTTCAATTCCCTCATTCGGTAGGAGTTCTGTTAATCGTTGATCCAAAGTATTTGTAATGATGGGCACACACACACACATATATATATATATATGTATGTATATATATACATATATATATATGTACACACATCATAGTGTGTGGGTGTGTGTGCGTCTGTTTGAGGATAAGAAATCAGAAATTTATGGTTATTTTTTATAAAAGAAATTCATCGTTGGACCTCATTTGGTAAAATTGGGAAATATTTTCTTCTGTTATCCGTCGAAGAAGAAACTTTCTAAGTTCTGAGGGCAAAGAATAGGTAGAAATTTTTTTTATCCGGGAACAAGGATCCGCATTTGTCTAAATTTGGAATCTGGGACACTTAGAAGAGAAAAAAAATTCATAGAAAAAAATGACAACTTTGGTAACTCTAGTCTCTCTCTGGGCACGTGGTGACTTTTTTCGGTTTGCGCTACATCTTCTGGTAGAAATGGGGAAAAATCAACATTTTTGCAAGCTTAGAATCTCATTGATACTTCTTGCTTCTTCCCTCCTGCATCGCTTCCCCGGCCGCTTCCTTCCCAACTCGCACTATCCCTCGTTAAAAAAAAACTCAAATTATAGTGGCATTTCTTTGTTCGTATTTCTTTAAACTAGCACAGGATAACCACGGTGACTGTTTCGACCGTCTTGGTATTGGTATTTAAGGTGTTTGGTTAAATCAGGAGCAGTCCAAACGGTCTGTAGGGCTGTGCAGGATTTTATTTGAAAATTGAAGAGTACAAATCGCTGGAAGTTGCAGGAAATCGAAATTTTGGGATGTTCATAAAGCAGCTTTGGCGACTCATGGACATTGCAGCGTATGTGGTGAAGTGTTCCGGAAAAATGAGGATTTGTCGGAAAATGACTTTACCGTACTGCGAAATGAAATAATGTAATTGAAAGATTTTGTTTTTTAGTTACCAAACTGTGCCCCTTCCCACCCTGGAAATACGAAAAAACTATGAGAATACCCTGGAACCCGCCCCGGAACTATGAAAAAACTGGGAATAGAGTTGTAACACACTGTTACTTATACTTACTTTAGTTTTTAGAGTTCTTTAGGGTTTAGTTCACTTCAGTTTTAACTTTAGACCCGTACTTTTGTAAAACTGGTGCCTGTGCGCCGCTGAGGGAGGGAGCGGAAGGCCCTTCAGACCAGCCTGTGGACCTAACATAGCTTTGCTTGATATTTGGATGCACCTCTGGAGTATCGATAATTTGGATGGTTTTGATAGCATTGAACTTGCATATACTTAGAGCTAATACCTAAAAAAGACTGCTAATTGACCAGTGATTAATTTTGGAACATTCTCGAACGATATAGTCAACAACCATTTTATCAGTCTCGAAGTTGTGCTCTCCGCATTCGAGTTGACGGAGCGATCCAGCGCATTGGTGGCAGTCTAGCTGCGTTTTTGTAATTTTCTAACTACCAATCGTCCATCTGTTGTCTCTCATTCTTGCCATATGGCCGGCGTGGCTGGGCCAGTGTCCCCTGTCTTGTGTCGTTCACTGCAGAGCGTGATCGGGAAACTTCGTTGCAAAATCCATCAATAGTCATGAATTTTGCATACATATCACCGATTATTGCAGGAAATATTTGTCCGAAGAGATGAAAGTATTTTCGAGTGCAACCGAGAAGGAAATTCTGAACCTAAAAAGGCATGTCAAGCAAAAAGTAATGCCAGCTTCTGAGGTTCGTTTTTTTTTTTTTTTTGATTAAGAGCAAAAAGGCAAAGAGAGACTTGAACTACAAAAGCGAGGGAGCCAGAAATTTTGGGAAATGAGGTTTTCCGGGCGGCATATCGATCCAGAAAGACTAAATCAGTTTTTTCACCCAGCATTTGCAAGTGTTTAGGGTTGGCCTCAGTTCTTGATATTATGAAACATTCTCAGCAAACAGTACCATATCTTTTCTTTTTTACTTGCGATTACACCTTATATGGATTTACGAGTAGACTAAAGGGGGAAAAACTTTGTGAAAAACAGTCAAGTGTAATACCTGTTGCTTATCGAGGCAGTGACGTGCGTATATCGGATAGATGCTGAGTAGTAACCGAACTATATTATTATTCACTACATCGTTATTATTATTATCATTATTATTATTATCATTATTATTATTATCATTATTATTATTATCATTATTA